AAGGGGTTCTTCTTCCAGTCTGTTGGAGGAGTAGGTGGACAAGGTCACATGACCCCCAACGGGAAAACCACATTGCCCGAGTTATGGAATCCAGCTTCCTTCTACCGCCTAAATGTTTCTGGAGTGGCAGATCCATGGCAGCCTCAAGGGTGTATTCTGAAGCCCTCCCTCTAAGAGCTCTGATTTCTTTCAACTGCTTGATGCTAGTCGCACAAAGAGAAAAATCCACATCCCCTTGACGACCAGGAGAGGACGAATGAGAAGACTTTAAAAGGAGAGATCTTCAACAGAAGCATCATTTAAATAACTTCAGGGCAGTCTCAATGCCAGGTTAGCCCCAGGACAAGGCACCTGAACACCACACTGCAGTGACCTGTGCTCTCAAGAATTCAGGTCTGCGAGGACCTGCTGAACTGAAGACAGATTGGCATTCCTTGCCTTTCCATGCTGACGTCATCCTGCTTTTTTGTGGGCCTCGGGCCTCCCACTGGAAAAGACTCTCAGGGAGGTACCCATTGGTCAAACACACTGCTCTGTAGGCTAGCTGGACTCCGAGGCCCCGGGGGTGGGCTGGGGTGGGGTTCTGTGCTGTTTTCTCCACCCCCAAGTCATTGAGTCCTGCCCTGGCCTTCACTCATACCTGATGGAGGCCCCAACATGTGTGCCACAAACCACACAGACCCCAGAGTTTGGCAAAGTGTCTGGCACACACTAGCTTTTGCGTCAGTGGCGCCAGTCCATGCCCCCACGCCCAGCATCTGCAGCGTCTTGGCGCCTACTAACGAACTAACACATTTTACATATTCATGGCCGTGGTGAATTTGTGAAAAGAAAGTGTGCTGTGTGTGTTTCCTACATTGTGTTCCACGGGGCGGCTTACCAGCACCCCGCCGCAGCCGTTTACATTCACTGTCATTAGGTGGGCAGCGGGCCAGGGGAAGGATGCGTCAGTACGTTCCTGTCCTTGGGTTCGGCACAAACAGTACTTGAAAAATAAATAATAAGCTTTAAAAAGGGAACTGAGAGGGTAATTTCCAACTTCTTTCATCTCTCCTCCAACATTGTGAAGATTTGCTGTATTTATTGCATCCCTTGGTATGGTTCTTGTACTACTTGCCTGGTTCAGTTTCTTCAACCTGTTTGGAAATGAAGCGCAGTGCGGTAGGGCTCTGCATGAACTCCTTTTCCCTAACCTGAGTTTCAGGGCCTTCCTGGGGCTTGATTCCATGATCCCTGTGGGTAACACAATCTGCGAACTCTCAAGTCCCTTAGATGAAGTGGCAGGATTTGCTAACTATGCACACCATCCTCTGTGCTTTGAATTATCTCTAGATCACTTATACTACCTAACACAGTGCAAATGCATGCAAGTGGTTATCACACTGTAGTGCTCGGGGAATAAGGACAAGATAAGAAAGTCTACACGTGGTCGGTACAGATGCAATTTCTTTGCGTGTTATCCATGTGAGGTTGGTTGTATTTGTGGATGCAGAATGCATAGATACAGAGGGCTGACTGCAAGAATCAAAAGATTCAGCACAAGTTTGCTAAAAAGGTTTTGGAACATGGGAGCTTCTAGGACTTTCCTGAAAAGGGCAGGCTGGCTGGCATGCTGAACGGAGTGGAGTCCCCGGAGTGGGGAGGCCGCAGACAGAAGGTGCTGCTCCGCCAGCCCAGGTAAGAGTGAGGAAAGCAGTCTGGGCGTGCGTCCCAGCGCAGCAATGGAAAGTCACGGGCCTGCTGGAGACAGGTGGTCAGGAGAGCCTGACCCGAGGATGCTAAACCGTAGGAGCCGCTATCCACACAATCCAAAGGTCAGGAGACAGCTCTGTCTCAAGTGTGTCAGCTTGCCCACATTTCTGTTTAGACAAGTTTGGTGTCTGTTTAAATATATAATCTTAGCATTGGAAAGGCCTTCCTCAGTAAGACACCAATCTGGAAACCAGAAAGGAAAGATGGACAGATTAGACTACCCACTCCTAAATTTTAAATTAGCTTGATAAAAGACACCAAGAACAAAACTAAAAGTGAAATGACAGCTTACATCTCAATGACATCGGGGGACTTCCTGCATATTACAAACTCCCTCCTGCTGCAGATCAGTTTCCCCCTCCAGGTCTCCCAGTGGGGCCCCACCCTGGCTTCATGGCCACCATGACTACGGAGAGTTGAAACTGTTGGCAGCAAAACCACGACCTCTCACTGTCCCAAAATGAGGAAGTGAAAGGGAAGAAAGAGGAAATAAGACGGAATGAAAAAATGAATGAGAAAAACCAGGAGGGAGCAAGAAACATTGAGAAGATGGAGGAGATGAGTGCTTTATCTCCTCTTCATCCAAGCTCTCCCCTTTGTGCTGCCCTGTTGTGCACCAATTCCTTTAAACTGTGGTCATCTCAGTCGTGCATGGGCTTCTGGTAGAAGGAGGTGTGGGCACCAGCATTAAGTGAGTGGCCACACTAGAGTGCAGGATTCAAACCCACCCCAACTGAGCCCAAGCCCATGCTTTGGAAAATTAAATCAACACATGGATTCACCAGACGGCTTCAAGACAGGCTGAAAAATTCAGCTCGTACATTTCCTTCCCATTCTGATCATTTCCTTTTCCCTTATACAAAATTCCCTTTATTCTTACCGCCCACTAGAAGGGAGAATTGAAATTAGGTTCTTTTACTTAATGGCTTGCCAAACGATAAACAGCTCTCTCAAACTAAGCCACATCTCATCTAGGGAGAGGGTCATAAAAATAGTGATTTACGGAGTCAAGAGTACAGCGAGACATTTTTATAGCATCACAGATGGTTTTCCAAATTGCAGAGCAGTTTTATTTCTCTCTGTATATCTCAATTTCACAGTCCATAATTTGAGAATGATAATAGCTTCCCCTTTTCTACTTCTCGGGTGAATTGGTTGGATCGTGAGGGTCTATATTTCAATGAACTCTGAATCCTAAGGAGAAGACTTAAATGATAAAATCATGAAAAATCATATGGGAAGCTACTATGAGAATGAGAAGGCTGGGGATGTGGCTGTGTTGGTGGGGCAATGATTTGGCCCCGAGAACACTTGACTACACGCAGCCATCAAACTGCTTAAGGGGATTTAAGTTTATATGGAGTACCATTATTTCAGATACATCTTTGATAGCTCTGAAAATAACTACTAGGCGCATGTATGTGGTGGATGGTTAGGGAAATGAGATTTGCATGTATCCCTTACTCCTTCTGTCAGTCTTCAGAGCCAAACTGCTTGGCTCCAGTTTTCATTATTGTCCCTTTCTGGCTTGGGCTTTAGCGCTGCCTCTGTACACAGCCTGCGCTCACTGCCTCTGTTCCAACTTCAGCTCCAGGTGCCCTTGCGATCTAGCCTGGCATGCCTCTAGGCATTTTCCCTTCTACAAGTGCCAGGAGTGCTGGGCCACTGAGCAGCCCAGGTCAGAGGCTGTACCCTGCAGTCTTGAGAGCACAGGCCCTGGGGCAGGTTGCTGTTCTCTGACCTGGAGTATCCCCCGTCTGTAAAGTGAACATGACCCTCGTACAAGCTACTCAGAGGGTTCTTGGGGCAAGGCAGTGAGACAGAGCCCATTAAGCCCTAGCACGCTGCCTAGTGACTGGTTTTTAAAGGCATCTTGTATTGTGAAAAACATGGTGGAGATAGACAGGGTGAGATAGCTGGATTAGTGGTTCTGCACAGAACATTCAGCATTTTCTTCACTTTTATTTATTTATTTATTTATTTTTTTAAAGATTTTATTTATTATTTATTTGAAAGTCAGAGCTACACACAGAGAGAAGGAGAGGCAGAGAGAGAGAGAGAGAGAGAGAGAGAGAGAGAGAGAAGTCTTCCATCTACTGGTTCACTCCCTTGATGGCAGCAAAGGCTGGGGTTGTGCTGATTGGAAGCCAGGAGCCAGGAACTTCCTCCGGGTCTGGCACGCAGGTGCAGGTGCAGAGGCCCAAGGACTTGGGCCATCTTCTACTGGTTTCCCAGGCCATAGCAGAGAGCTGGATAGGAAGTAGAGCAGCCGGGTCTCGAACCGGAGCCCATATAGGCTGCTGGCACTGCAGTGCTACACTACAGCACCGGCCCCTATTTATTTTCTCCCAGGAATCTTTCTCTTTTAAATTGTGACCGAATAGAATGATTATTTAAGGCTTTACAATTTTCATGGCTGATTTGAATACATCATGGATAGTTTTATCATGCTTTGGATCATTCAAAATGCCATTTCTCCCTTTTTTTGGTCTCAAGGCACAGTATTAAATTGACATTGGGCAGGGACCATGGTATATATCCTCTAAAATCTATCTCCACACTCTCTATGATATGTACATGAGTCCATATCCTTGAACTTGGGGTCATTCATAATATCCCAGGCAAAAAGGGTAATTCAATCTGACCTGAACATTGTCTTGGAGTAGATATTGAGCTCAGTGCTTCCCGTGGATCCGCTCATTCAATCCTCCACTTTATGAATCAAGTACTGTCATTAATCCCATCTTACAGGTGTGGAAACTGAACCTTAGAGAAGTTGGTAATTGTCACAAATCACACATTTAGTAAACAATGGAGACCAAAGTTGAACCAAAGTCATCTGGACCCAGAGCCCACATTTTAGCAACTCATTGCAGCTTAATGCATCAGAATGTAGCATCGCAGGCCGGCAGGCACTAGCCTTGGCCGCTGAGCAATGCTGCCATCCCACAGGGGCTGGTAGGTTCACAGGAGGCCACTGGCAACGGCCAGTTCCCAAGTGCGGGATCTGTTGTGAGTCTGAAGCTGATAAGAAAATCAATGACACATGGAAGAGATGAAGAACAAGTCTTTCAGGTGGAACATGCGTGTCTGCAATATCTTTAGATATTTTAAAATGTGCTGTGCCTATTTGTAAGCATTTTTATTTATTTAATTTATTTATTTGAAAGTCAGAGAGAAAGAGAGAGGGATGGGCGGGAGAGAGATATCTTCCACTCACTAATTCAGTCCCCAAATGTTTGTGACAGCCAGGGCTGGGCCGGGCTGAAACCAGGAGACCGGAACTTGTCGGGCCCCTCACATGAAGTTTTTGAGTCATCACTGTCGCCTCCTGGAGTGCCCACTAAGGGAAGCTGGACTCTGAAGCTGAGGTGAGAACAGAACCCAGACACTGCAACATGGGATACAGGCATCCCAAGTGGTGTCTAAACCACTGCACCAAATCCTGCCCCGGCAATGCGTATTTTTCAAACTCCACATACAGAGAAAGTACCCATGCACTTCTTTAAGTGGGAACATAATTTATCTAATTCATTTCTTTTTTTCATAAATTGGTTAGAATTTTCTTAGAAATGCCTTTCATTAAAAAAAAAAAAAACCCAGAAACTGACATGAACCTTCTCACTTGCTCCTGTCCTCTTCTTCTGCTACCTCCTCTCTTCTCTTGTTCCTTCAGTCCCCATCCATTCCCTCTCTTTACCTCTTCTCTCAGTCTCTCCTCTGTAATAATTGAAGCAACCCACTGAATGTCGAGCCAAATGTCCCTCCCTTGGTTTGAGATCACTTTCCCCCTCTTCATGACTGGCTAGGTCTGTTTGCTTCAGGTAACAACTTTCCCAGAGATGTTGGGAGATAAGGGGGTTAGCATTTCCTCCCAAAGTCCAGCCCCTACGACACTGGCCCTATCGTGCTGGCTTTTGAAGGCCCTGCTGCTGCTGCAGGTTACAGACCCACACAGCTAAACTTGCTGAGTGCTCACTAGGTCCCAGGCATGGTGAACTTGCTTGGCCAAAGTCACTAGCATAGGGCAATCACCCAGATCGGTCTGATTCCAGAGCCCACACTCTCCTAACCATCGCCTTCTAGCTGAGGTCCATGTGCTTCGTAGATTTTGTTTCCTGGGAGTATAGACTGTCATGGTAGACACCAGGTGCCATCTGCTATGGCTCTTGGAAGTCGCATTAGACCGACTAAGCTTTCTCTTCCTAGGGCAAAGACAGACAGAATGACGTGGACGATTCCATTAGTGTAGGCCAGACAACAGAAATCCCCAAAACCCAGGAGAGGGTTTTAGAATTGAGCTGGCCTTTAAAGATTATCTCCACTAACTCCTTTATTTGCCATTGGGATGTTCGGGGTCTGAGAAGTTAAATGAATTATCTGAGGATATGCCACTGGTTAGTTATATACAAAGCCAAGACTAAATTTTTTGGATTCCAAATGAACTGCTTGTCCCAATTCATCTTCATTGTGCTTGGGGTTCTCATGTTTTTAAGAAATACCAAAGAGTAGAAGATTCAATTGCTTTTAGCAATTTCACATTGTACAGTTTTGCTAGAATTAATTATAATAATGATGGCAGCAGATCCCCCAAATCCATGCGCTCCAAATTGTTTCTGCTTTTTTCTAAGCTCATATATAGGACTCCAAGGCCATATTATACCACATAAAATTTCCCAAGAGCTGGGCAGTTTCCTGTAAAAACTCAGCCGTGTACCGATTGCCAAATTGGAAAACTCAGGGTTTCCTGGCAAGTGCACTTCCCCTGTGCACTAGGGAACGCCGGCTCCTCAGTGTGCAGCCTCTGCTGCCTCAGCTGTTGCCCAAGTCCCTCTTGCCTCCCTTGCTTATCTCTCTCAAGACCCCACGACCTTGCCCCAAACCCTCCTCAGCTGAATAAGAACTCCTCAAGGATAAGTTCCTGGAGGGAAGTGTCCATGCATCTTTTACTCTAGATGGAATTTTGCTCGAGAACTCAGGCAAACTCACTTCCGGCCCGGACGCAAACACTAATCAGTCCCCTGAATGCCCTGCCTTGTGGACAACAATTCCTGCCCACTTGCTTTCCAGGCTTGTTCTGGAAATTCTGAAAGGTAGAAGTTCACAGCATCATGGAGACAAACTCGGCCTGGCAACTGTAGCCTCTCATGGTAGCGTTCAGAAAAGAGAGAGCCAGTGATCCTGTGACTCCTTCAAGGTCATCGAGGTGCTGAGGCCATGGAGGTCCTTCCTCATCAATGACAAAATCAAGACCAAGTTTCAGTTCCTCCCCAGATGTGCCCTCACTCTTCAGTGCTGCCTGCCGCGATGCTGAACGTCAAAGCCTAGAGACAGCAGGTAATGATTGAGATATTAATTCATAGACTATGCATGGAGTCAGCACTAAACAAATTGTTTTCAGGCCTTAACAGAGCTGTAGGTCATCAGGAATTTCTGAAGACAGCAAAAATATTTGTCTGAAGACAAATCCTGCCCATTCCAGTAAAGACGAGGAAAACAGGAAGTTTAATCAGAGATCCCAAAGCAGCTTGCTCTTGGTACTTTTCTAAAAAAAATGTTATTATTGAGATAAAACTCACGCACTGTTAAGACTCACCATGCTAAGATAGGAAAGTGCTTTCTGGCATATTCCCAGGGCATGTAACCATCACCACTCTCTAATTCTGAAATATTCTCATCACCCTGTTGCTGCTTGTATGCCAGCTTTGTTGTGTTGAGTGTGGCTGCCCGCAAGCTTGTATATTATGTCCGGCTCCTTGTGTAGTGCTCATCTTGAGATGAGAGGATCGGAGATCCCAAGTTCACTCTATTTGGATGAGTCAATGCCTACTAAAGATTTTATCCCTTAAGGATGGACCACAGTAGGGGTGAGACAGGCCCTAAGCCTCAGACCAAGCAGTGACATTTGCTATGGTTTGAGGGTGTACTCAAGAGTTCACGGCCTGATGTCTAACCTCATGGAGAGAGATTAAGAGAAGGGAACTTAACGTGACCTTGGTGTTTAGAGAAGAGGCCTTTGGGAGGTTGTAAGGATTAGATAAGGTTAGATAAGACCATGGTCAAGCACTGGTGGCTTTATAGGAAGAGGGAGAGAGACCAGAAGACACATGTGAACACATGTGAACACATGTGCGTGAGCACACACTCCCTGTCTCTGGCTGGGATGCCCCTGTCACTCTGAGATGCTGCCGGCAAGGTCACCCCACCTTGCACCACCAGCACCATGTGCCAAATAAGTCACACGTCTTTATAACATACTCAGCCTCAGGTACTGCATCACGGTGATGAAAAATGGACTAATATAGAATTAGAACCAGAAAAGCAAAAGTCAGCCACCAAGGCTGATTTGCAGGGCAAAATTGGGGAAATATTTTTTAAATATTTTAAAATTTTGAAAGATTTTATTTATCTATTTATTAATTAGACAGGCACAGTTACAGACAGAGAGAGAGAAAGAGAGAAAGGCTTCCATCTGCTTGTTCATGCCCCAGATGGCCACAATGGTTGGAGCTGGGCTGCTCTGGAGCCAGGAGCCAGGAGCCAGGAGCCAGGAGCTTCCTCCGGGTCTCCCACATGGGTGCAGGGGCCCAAGGACTTGGGCCATCTTCCACTGCTTTCCCAGGCCATAGCAGAGAGCTGGATTGGAAGAGGAGCAGCCGGGACCCAAATGGGCACCCATATGGGATGCCGGCACTGCAGGCAGCAGCTTTACCTGCTACGCCACAGTGCCGGCCCCCAAGTTGGAGAAAGTTTGCCAAGCCAAAGGTGAACAGAGCTGGGAGTGGGAACTGCGGCTGGCCTAAAAACACTGCAGGCTCTCCACGGGGTCATCTTCTCCTGCTGTGGGGGCTGAAGCACTTCTTACCCATCCCTCCCCCCCCCCCCCCCGGGCCTCCATTTTCCCTTCACCTAAGCCTCCGGGGATCGGGGATCGCTGAGCCAGGGAACCTCTGCAGTGGCTGCTCCGTGCGTACCGTGCTGACCCGCGGAGGCCACACCCCTCCACAGACTGCAGGCCTCGGTCCCCACGCGCCTTGCCCTCAGCACTGTCGGGCGCTGTGCTCAGTAAAGCTGTCTTGAGTAAGCTACTCATTTGGCTGCATGCTGATTTCTCTTGATGAAGCCCTTAAAACTCAAGTTAAAACTGAGCGCTGAGGACGTGCCTGCGCATCTCACAGTTCTTGGGTGAATGCATGGGCCAGTGACAAACCCAGGGGAAGCTGCCTCCCTGCCCCTTTCACTGAGGAGCCCAAGTTTGGCCCAAAGATAAAGCAAGAATAGGTCTCCGCCTTCACCCCTAGGAGGAGCCCTCTGGTGCTTGAGTTGAGCTGGTTTGTGCCAGCCTGGCTGTGCCATCCCCACGCTCCTCGGCTTCCCCAGTTGGTCAACGTCCCTTTGCCTATGTGGTTCCGGAACTTGACATGATGTTCCCAAGTGGTCCCACCAGCTCAGAGATCAAAAGACTCTTGATATGGATCCAATGCTTTTAAGAATTTTTTATTGCTCATATTACCCTTAGGAAGGTCTCAGCATGTACTGATTTGATGTATGTGTGTGTATGTGTGTGTGATGTGAAAAGACATTTTATTAAAAATCTTTGGACAATTGTCTGCTTTGGGATTAAATCAAATATGTTGTAAGGAGAAATAAAACTTCAAGTCAAACACATCCTTATGCTGGGCTCCCCTCCCCTTTATTAGATAAACACACACACACACACACACACACACCCTTAGGAATAAGCAGATTACAATCTCGTATCAGACTGAAATCATAAAGATGTACGGATTTTTTTAAAGGTCTTCCTTCCGTTGGTTCACTCCCCAAATGGCCACTATGGCCAGCGTGCTGTGGCGATCCGAAGCCAGGAGCCAGGTGCTTCCTCCTGGTCTCCCATGCGGGTACAGGGCCCAACCACTTGGGCCATCCTCCACTGCCCTCCTGGGTCACAGCAGAGAGCTGGACTGGGAGAGGAGCAACCGGGACAGAATCCAGCGCCCCGATGGGAACTAGTACCCGGTGTGCTGGTGCCACAGGTGGAGGATTAGCCAAGTGAGCTGTGGCGCTGGCCCAGATTCTGCCTCTGATGGTTCTGTATGATGTTTCTGCAGATCACTGTAAGGGAGGCGTGGACGTCTGGCACATGAAGAAAGCCACTTCTAATTACTGGGCCGCTGTTCTTCATAGCAGAGCAGGTCTCGGGTGCTCTTGGCTGTACCCTTCTTTAATGGCGCCTGCCAGGGCCTGGCAGCCTCCAACCTTCACCTGTTGGAAGCATGTGGGGTCGGCCACCCCTCACCTTGACTTCTGACCTGAAAACCTTTGGTCCTTACATTCCTTCAAGCTTTATGGCTTTTCTTTTCTTTTGGGTTTTGCTTTGAAGATGGAAAATTTGAACTTTTTGGTTCTGCTGTTTGCTGGGTCCACTCTAGGGGACAGAGCCGCGAGGGGCCAGAAGACCAGCAGTTGGGAATGTGCTTCTCATTCAGCCGGGACCCTGGGCTGAGCGTGGGAACGCAGCGGAACTCCCACTGCAGACCTGGGTGGTCGGAGGCCCAGGAACATGTCCCGAGCTGCACGGGCTGTGAGGATCCTGCCGCTCTCAGCTGCTAACATCATTTGTAGAAGACCTCGGGCTGAGTATTTCCAAACGCATAATTTCAATGTTTAACGTTCTCAAGTCATTTTCCTTGACCTACCATTTTATTTCACCAGTGCTTATTAGACACTGAACCTTTGCCAGGCACTCAGACTTCAGGGGAAAAACTATCATCATAAACATTGTCTTATGAAGAATCTGTAACTTTCTTCTGCACACGATGCCCAAAGCACATTGTGGGCCTTGCCCCTTGCCAGGGGTGCTGGGGCCATTCTTGGAGGGCAGATGAAGGCAGTAAGATTGAGAAAAATTCCCAACAAGGCTTCTTGTCCTAGGATGCCATTGTGGGGAGCATAGGTCCGAGGAAGCTGCTGCCACCCATCTCCCAGCCTGCTTCCAGCGCTCCCTCCAGCACTTTTAACTTCATGTGACAATGAAAAGAGAAAGAATTAATTTTTTTTTATTAAACAGGCAGAGTTAGACAGTGAGAGAGAGAGACAGAGAGAAAGGTCTTCCTTCTGTTGGTTCACCCCCCAAATGGCTGCTACGGCTGGCGCACTGCACTGATCCGAAGCCAGGAGCCAGGTGCTTCCTCCTGGTCTCCCACGTAGGTACAGGGACCCAAGCACTTGGGCCATCCTCCACTGCCCTCCCAGGCCCCAGCAGAGAGCTGGACTGGAAGAGGAGCAACTGGGACTAGAACCCAGTGCTCATATGGGATGCCGGCGCCGCAGGTGGAGGATTAGCCAAGTGAGCCACGGCGTCAGCCCCCAGAATTAATTTTTAAAATATTTTTAAACAGCCATTATTTCTGTTTATAAAGTTCTGACCAAAAATTTGTTTTTGTTTTAAATTTGAGAGGTGGAGAAACACAGAGACAGAGACAGAGACAGACAGAGTCCCAGTCAACGATTAAAACTGAACCAGGCTGAAGCTGGGAGCTAGCTGTTAGATGGGTTACAGCCCAAGTGATCAAGTTATCAATAAGGGAAGTACACATTTTACCTTATCTGTTATATGAGACCCATGTAAGTTGAACTTTTTAATTTAACAATGGTGGATGCCAAAATATGTTCTTTAAAAATTTGTCAATGGCTAAGATTTCCTTAAATTTTATAGCCTAATTTCTTCTTCTTTTTTTTTTTTAAGGGAAAGGATTTATTGGGGAAAACTCAACAGACCAGAGGGAAGAGGCGAAGAAGGAAAAGAGGGAGAAGGAGAGCATAAGAGAGAGAGACAGAGACAGAGAGACAGCCACGTGTTCAGGAACATGTCCTCTTAAAACTTTGCCAGGGGATGGGCAGGGCGGTAGGAGCAGTGAAAGCCTCATTTATTCATAATATAGCCCACAAAATCTCAGGAAGAATCTAGGAAAAAATAAATTTTATTTTAAAGGTGAAATTTAAAAAATATTTATTTGAAAGGCAGAGTTACAGAGAGGGAGAGACACAGGGAGAGAGACCTCCCACCCACTTGTTCTCTCTCCAAATGGCCAGAACTGCCAGGGCTGGGCCAGGCCACAGACAGGAGCTGGCAGGTACCCAAGCACTCAGGCCATCTTCTGCTGCTTTCCCAGCTGCATTAGCAGGCAGCTGGATTGGAAGTGCAGTGAGGACTTGAACAAATGATCATATGGATTGCCAACATGGCAGGTGGTGGCTGAACCAACTGTGCCACAATGTCAGTCCCAAGGTAGAATATTTATAGTGGGCTATTAGGTATGGTGGTGGTAGTTTTCTTTCTTTTTTTTTAAGATTTATTTATTTATTTGAAAGGCAGAGTTTCAGAGAGGCAGAGAGAGACAGGCAGAGAGGTCTTCCATCCAATGGTTCACTCCTCAAATGGCCTCAATCGCCGGAGCTGTGCTGATCTGAAGCCAGGAGCCAGGAACTTCTACAGGGTCTCCCACACAGGTTCAGGGGCCCAAGGACTTGGGCCAACTTCTGCTGCTTTCCCAGCCCATAGCAGAGAGCTGGATCAGAAGTGGAGCAGCCAGGACTCAAACTGGTGTCCATATGGGATCCCAGCACTGCAGGCAGCAGCTTTACCCGCTACACCACAGCACCGGCACCAAATAGTGGTGGTAGCTTTTATCTCTGCAGTGTCGCCTTTTCTAAGTTGAGTTGGAGGCCATTTTTAAATGAGAGAGAGAGACAGATTCTTATTTCTAACTATTTCTACCAGATATTCCCTTATCCTACTCCCCAGGAGTAGACTTTCTGGGTAACAACATGTTGAGAATGTAAACCTTTTGAAATGTATATACAGAGAACTCCTGGATTCTGAGATGTCATCATCAAGTTTTTGTCCTGAGCTCTAATCCAACTGTGTGACCTTGAGCCAACTAAGTACTACAACTCTTAAATGAGAAGCATGGCCGTATACCCCACTGTATGTGTTATTCTGGAAAGAACACAATAAGCCTTGTGAAATGTGGCGTGTGATGGGCACAGATGGCTGTCTGCCCATCAGCTTTCTTTCACAACCCACGAATTTTCCAGAAGTACTCTCTTTCCCCATTGTAGTCTTCATACCTCCAAGCTAGGCTCAAATTGTCTCAGCAGGATCTCGTCACCCCGCCAGGGACAGGCCCAGAAACAGGCCTATGAACCGGTTCAGATGAGTGAGGTTCAAGAGGAAGTTTGCTGGAGCGTCTGGAAAACCCCCCACCCCTAAGAGACGGTCGTATGAAGAGAAGATGTTTCGCCTTGGACACTGTCATTGGGAAAGGCCAAGCTTGGCCACATGACTGCCATGGCCATATCGCCCCCAGCCTGAGAGCTAAACTGAACACAGACAAGGCAGAGCCCGGATCATGGGGAAATGGGACTGAACCCACTTGATTAGTCAACCTTGGATCTTGACTTCCAGCTATGGGTTCAGTTCAGATGGCATACACTCTAGAATCAGTTAACTTGAAAACTCCGCTTCCGGTCATCATTTCCTTCACTTTCTTTCTTGATTATGAGAAGTGATGTGGGGTTTCTTATAAGCCTTCCTTCCAACTTCTTCTGTCCTCTCTTTCCCCAGTTTTCAAAAAAAAAAAAAAATGACTAAAGGGAATATTTTTTGAAAATGATAGGGCCTAGGCCAACAATTCAGGAATGACTCATATAAATCTGTTGAACTAGAAGAGTCCAACCCGGGCCTTCCAATTTGGTGACAGATTCAGACTTTTTTCTTTTCTTTTTCTTTTTCTTTTTTTTTTTTTGAGCTGGAAGGAAGTTTTGCTCAATAATCCTAATCCCATTTTGTGCATGAGGACTGAGGTTCAGAAAGAGCCTGATGATCTGAGCCCAGAGTCCGTGAGGGCGGGCTCTCCGGGCACCAGCTGCAGGAGACTCCCCTGGCACCCCAGTTTGACTCCTAACCCATTCCAGTGGGGGAATTCATGCCAAAACCGTATCCTCCTTTGGTTCTTTGGACCCTTTGTTTCTGTTTAAATCAAGGCTTCTTTGTAGCAGTTGCCCAAAGAGTAAAGTTCCTATTTACATCGGAAGCGCAGTCTTTGCTTGGTCTCCCCTGGTGATTTTTTCTGGAAGTCCCCGGGAAATGTCTTAAAAAGAATCCGACTTCTCCCTACAGAGCCTCGGCTCCTGGTCTACAGCCTCTTGCTGCCCTGCTGCTACTTGGCCTCATTTCTCAGTCTTCCCAGCTTGCAATCCGTGCTGCTGCCAAGCCCCCACAAGCTTCCCCCTCCATTCAGTGCCCGTTCTTTCCGACCATATCTGCATTGCCCGCTACCCACCATCCTCTCCTTCACCAGTGCTGGGGCTCAGAGGACGAAACCCTAGCGATGGTGACTTGGCGCACTGAGCCTGCTTTGTACTAAGCAGAGCCTCTTTCTGGCTGTCTCCCAGCTCTTCCCTTCTCTACTCCCTTCTCTCCCCAGAGGCTATAGAAACAAGAAGCCGCTTCCCCAAACACAGCCACAGCACCTAGAAATGGGAGTCCAGCCGTCCTCTGCCTTTCTGTGAGTGAGCTGGCCATCAGGAAGTTCTCTGACCTGGTTTGTGAGGACCAGGCCCTCATTCCAGAGGCAGGCATTTGGCTCCACACTTGGGGCAACCCTTGCCCATAGCATGCTGGGTTCAAGTCCTGGCACTGCTTCTGGTGAATGTGCGCCCTGGCAGGTTGGCTCAAGTACTTCAGGCCCTGCCCCCGCAATGAGAGACCCGGATTGAACTCTCAGCTCCAAATTTCAGCCCAGGCCAGCCCTGGGGAGGGAATCAAGGGGAGTGGGGTGGGGAATGGAGTGGGAATCTCTGTCTCCCTCCCTCTTTCAAATAAAATGAAAATAAATACATAAATTGTAAAAGATCTTTATTTAAGAAGGAGTTCTCAATACCTGGGAGGAAGAAATGCCAGAGACCATGAATTTGAACAGACAGGCCTGGCTGAGCTGCTCCTCACCCCCTACCTCCTCACACACACACCTGCCCGATACCATTATATTGCATCCTTTTCTAATCACATCTCGTCTTGCCTGTCCATTTTTTGTTGAATCTAAGCATAAAAGCAGACAGCTCTCCCTGGGTCTTTGGGTATTTGTTTCTGAGGGCTCCCTACATTACATAAACTTTTGATTAAATATATTTCATGCTTCTCTGTTGTTAATCTGTCTTCTGTTGTAGGAGAGTCAGCCATGACCCTTTGGGTGGATGAAGAAAAGTATCACGCGTTTCTGCCCCTACAGCGGCCTGTAAGGTGCGTTTGCTCTCCATGGCCCCTGGTTCTGAGTGGACTCCCCAAGGCAGTGGGTTTGACCAGGGCTGCGTCCGCCACAGCGTCACACTGTGAGTGAGCCTCTTCTCCTGCCATCTCAGGCCACTCAGCTTTGTCACACGGGGTGTGTCTCCGAAACCTCAATTCCAAATTATGGGAGGAACTAGAGCAGGAATTCATCTATGTTGAAGTTCAGGATAGGGCTGAGGTGTCCATGAACCTGTGAAAGTTGAACCCGGATGTTTGTGTTACAGTGTTTTGCAGCACAAAGGCCTCTACTTTTGATTAGAGTGGTAGAGGTCTGTGACCCTAAATGGCTAAGAACCACTGGTCGCTAGGTGGTCTCTGAACCAGACAGGCGCTAAGTCTCTTCAATTCTAATGTTCTATGACCTTGGGAGTCTATAATACAGTCTTGTAGCACATTTATCAAAAGTGAAAGCATTTGGTCATGCTTCCAGAATATTCCATGGCATTCCTAAGTGATGCAAGACTGTATGCAAGAATTTTAGCTTTGTCAGGACAGATGTGAGGTTACTTTAAGAGAAAATAACAAAGGATTAAGCATGAAAAATTTTGTTAGCAAGACATTAGCATTGTATCCCTTAACAAAAATATTCTATCCCCGAGTACTGTAAATAGTGGGAGATCCTTCTTTTCATAGCAAGATTTTCGAAACTACTGATTTGGAAAATGGTGGGAAAGGATGCTGTTTAGGATCTTGCCTCTTTCCAATCGTTCCATTCAAGAAATGGGAGGCTTGGGGGATGGGGCCGTTCTCCCTTCTTCTCTGCATAGCCACAGTTGGCCTCTAGGAGGTGCTCTTGTGTTAGTAAGGGCATGGTGACCAAATACACAGGAGTTTAGGGCTAAAATTTTGGATTGATCAAGTGTAATAAGTGAAGTAGTTAATTTTTTAACCAATGTCAGATGCCAGAATTGAAAAAGCAGCACAAAACTTCCTACGTTACAATAGTGAAATTTGGAGACAATTACATTAGTCTAGCATTGGAAATATGTTTTAAGTATGAATATTCACAGGACTTTCAAGTTTTTTTAAAAAAATCTTAATTGTGGTAAAGTGGTTTTGACAGCTTAACCATTTTTCAAGTGTACAGTTTTTTTTAAACAAATATGCAGTTGAATTGTGTTAAGAACATGCACACCGGATGCAGTGGGTTAAGCAACTGCTTGTGACACTGGCATCCCAAATCCAAGCACTGGTTCAAATCTCAGCTGCTCCACTTCTGATCTGTCTCCCTATTAATCTGCCTGGGAAGGCAGCAGAAGATGGCCCAAGTATTTGGGCTCCCTACCATCAGTATGAAAGACCTGGGTGGAGCTCTGGGCTCCTGGCTTTGGCCTGGGCCAACCCCATCCATTGTGGACATCCGGGGAGTGAAACAGTGGTTAGAAGATTGATCTCTCTCTGCCTTTCATATAAGCAAAATAAAGGTTTGTTTACTTATTTGAAAGATACACACAGAGAGAGAGAGACAAAGAGAGGGAGAGAGATCTTCCATCCATTGGTGCACTCCCCACATGGCAGCAATGGTCAGCACTGGGCCAGGCTGAAGTCGGGAATCAGAAGCCAGGAACTTTGTCTGGGTCTCCTTTGCAGGTTCAGGGGCCCAAGCACTTGAGCTGTCTTCCACTGCTTTTCTCAGGCCATTACCAGGGGGCTGGATTGGAAGTGAATCAGCCAGGACACGAACCAGTGCCCATACAAGATGATGGTGTCACAGGTGGTGGCTTTACCTGCCACGTCATAATGCCAGCTCCAATAAATCTTTTTTTAAGTAATATTTATATTGTGGTGTAACTGATTAAAGAATGCAGATGGAGGAGAAGAAAAAAGAGAGAAACTATTCAACTCACACATTTGGGCCAAATCAAATCAATGATTCATTAATGAATGAAGAAAAATCCAAAAGTCTCACTCCACATCCCTAACCATATAGTGAAGCCCTTCAGTCAGAACCGCAAAGGATGACCATCACAACACCATCGTATCCTGCTTACACCACAACCAATCAAGAAACAACACTGAGGGAAGATTTAACCCGTGGGCAAGACACCTGTGTCCCACATTGGAGCATCTGGCTCCAAATCTCCATTCTGGCTCCTCACCCCAGCATCCTGCTAATTCAGCCACCAGGAGACAGCAGTGGTGGCTTAAGGAAGGGGGTTCCACCTCCTTTGCGAGAGACCTGGATTGAGTTTTGGCTCCTGGCTTTGGTGCAGGCCTAGCCCCAGCCATTGCAGGCACTTGGGGAACGAAGAAGCAGATAAGAATGTGCGCTCTCTCCCTCCTGCCCACTCTCTCTCCCTGTGTGTGTGTGTGTGTGTGTGTCTGTCTCTGTCTCTTTCCCGGTCTCTCTCTGCCTCTCAAATAAAAAAAAAGAAGTTTCAAAAGAAAAATTAAAAAGTCTTTTTTCTTACACAAAACTTTCCCTGCTTCCTGCCCTACCCTCTGACCTCTGATGGTTCAACATGAGAAATTTCTGCTGTCTTCTCTCAAACTTTTCAGTGTAAAATACTCTTTTTTAGAGCTGGTGAACATTTTTCCAAGTGCTCCCCATTCTACTGGTCTCAGGGCGTTTGTCCCAGGCTAGCATCTGTCATGGCTCAGTAGAGACTTTAATTGCTCTGTGGAATTCTGATTTAACTTAACCCTTCTCCTGAAGTCTTTTTGTCTTGCCAACATGAAACTCTACCTGTGAAACATATCAGCCCCTCCTCCCTGCCAACCACCCTTCTACTTCCCACTTCTAGGAATTTGACTATTCTAGCTTCTTCGTGGAAGGGAAGGAGACTGTCTTTTGTGACTGGCTTATTTCACTTGGATCCCCAAAAGACATCTGTCCATTTTTATCTCAGTTACTTTTTTAATTTGTAAAGAAAAACTGGTAATCAAAACATATCGGAGTCCTGTGTCACACTCACAACTTCACAAATGCTCTTTTTATTTTAAAAAATGTATTTTATTTATTTGCAATACAGAGTTACAGCGAGAGAAGTAGAGCTGGGGGTGGGGGGGTGGGGGTGGGTCTTCCATCTGATGGTTCACTCACTCCCCAAATGACCGCATTGGTCGGAGCTGTGCCGATCAGAAGCCAGGAGCCAGGAGCTTCTTCCGGGTCTCCCATGTGGGTGCAGGGGCCCAAGGACATGGGCCATCTTCTGCTTTCCCAGGCCATAGCAGAGAGCTGGATCGGAAGAGGAGCAGCCAGGACTCGAACCCGTGCCCATATGGGATGCCGGCACTGCAGGCCTGGGCTTTAACCCTCTGCACCACGGTACCGGCCCCAACAAATGCTCTTGTTGCGACAGCTGGGAGTCAAACCCTTCACTCACAGCTCCTGCCAGGGTGTCTTCTTGGGAGGCTCTGCTAAACTTGTGAACTTGGAAGACTGCCAAGGCCCGGGCTGGGCCCTGCGGACTCAGCGGGATGCAGGGGCCAGCGTTCAGACAGGCTGAAAGGATGCACCTGGCATTTCTCCTGTGTGGCACTCGGTGCTGCAGATCCCCAAGCCATCCATGCAAGTGGGCAGAAGCGCTTCTCTTTGGTCCTCAGGTGTGAAGAACTAAGACTTACATCATGAGGGTGTGGGAGCCACGGGAGAAGGGAAGCCCCATCCTCCTCAGAGGCTTCGAGCACCCACAGGGGCATAGTTTGTGTGGTCCCCACCAGGTCAGGCCAGTGGCCAGGGAAACCCAGACTTCTCTTAGGGAAACCCAAAGCTACAGGGCTCCCTCGCTGGTGTTAACTGGTTGTCCTGGACTCAGATTTATCAATCAGGCCCATTGTCATTTTCCTTTATCAGGTTTCTAGGGGGAATAGAGCGAAGGAAGTTGTCCCAAAATCAAATGGTCATGCGACAGAAATGATTTTGTTAGTCTTTTATTCACAACCCTTCCAATGGTTGAATTAGAATTTCTAGGAAAGCATCTGGTTAAATAGAAAGGAATCAGAAATGACCAACTGGTAGGAAGAACTGAATGACGCTGCGCAATCTCTCATCCTATCCTTGTCACCATTGTTCTGGTTTTCAAAATGGATGTGACCTTACACAGTGTGTGGCTGCTTCTGAGAAAATGTTTCCATTGAAAACGTCACAAAAGAATAAGTTACATTGTGGGGTTGGACTTAAATATAATCAGAGGAGGGTTTCTCTCAAATTAATTTTTGTAGAAAATACTAACAGTGTGTCACATAGAGGAAAACAAAGCTGGGCCCTAGGAGAAAGCCAGTGGGGAACTCAAGAAAAAAAAGGGTAGGAAATGGTTCTGGGGAGCCTACCCATCCCACTTTGGCTCTCCCTACACCTTCTGCTTAAGTTCGAAATCAATAAACTAAAGATAAATCCGTTCATTCCACATTCACATGTCAGACTTAAGATACACATACACGCCTGACGAGAGACTAACTCATGGTCCAAGGTCTAAAGTTGAGAATGAAGAATCCCAAAACGTTAAAGCTGAAAGAAACCCCAGAGACCACCTGGCAAGCTCTTTATCTTAGAGATGAAGATATTGGGTCCCCAGTCACAGAGACCGACTCTGCTGAGAAGCAGTGGAATTAAAATGTAAGTTGATTTTGGTGCAAAAAGATTTTTTTAAATCTATGCATAGTGGTTTCATAAGGCACATTTCCCAGGAAACTTCTGAAGACTTTTTAGGGTAATAGACCTATAATGACAACCTCGGAGGCCTAGCAAACATCAAAGATCGTGTTGTTCACTAACAGAAGGAAGAGGAAGCGGTGGAAGGAGAAGAGAGGGATGCTGGTCTAGGCAGAAGGCAGCTGGCTCGGCACGGGAAAGACACAAGAGCATTCCTTCCAGGGAGACTAGCAGCCCCTCCTCACGCAGGACGCAGGACGGGACCTCTGTGTGGCTGGGAAAGGGGATGTGGAACGTTTGTCTGTGTATGTTGACCTTGCAAAAGGAGAGTCTCTTTTGTATTCAAAAGAGAAATTAT